TGTAGAAAAGGATAAGTTTCAGGTTTTTTTTTTTTAAAGATTTTATTTATTAATTTGAGAGAGAGAGCACAAGGGGGAGTGGGGGAGGGGTAAAGGGAGAGAGAGAAACCCAAGCAGACTCCCTGCTGAGTGCAGAGCCCAGGACGGATCTCGATCCCAGGACCCTAGGATCATGACTTGAGCCAAAGGCAGACGCCTAAGAAACTGAGCCACCCAGGCATCCCCAGTTTGTTTTTTTTTTTTAAATAGATATGAGTGCTGAGAACTCTTAGTCTCATAAATAAGTAGATGGAAATAGGTTTATTTTATTTTATTTTTTTAAAGATTTTATTTATTTATTTGAGAGAGAGAGAGAATGAGTGTGAGCATGAGCAGGGGAAGGGGCAGAGGGAGAGGGAGAAGCAGACTCCCCATGGAGCAGGGAGCCCAACGTGAGACTCGATCCCAGGACCCTGGGATCATGACCTGAGCTGAAGGCAGACGCTTCACCGACTGAACCACCCAAGCACCCTAGAAGGTTTACTTTATAGTGATGATTATTCCATTCTCTTAAACTCTTTCTGAATTATATGTTAAGTCACATAGTCCTCAGCTTCAAAAATATTTCTGTTCTATTGGCTGGCAACTCGATTAGGCTTCCTTCAGTTTTGTTGAAAGCAGACTTTGCAATCACCTGACCTGCCAGAGATTTATTACCCACTTATTAGTTATTCACTTTTTTATTACTGTTACTGATATTTTAAATTATCCCTCTGGTTTGATATGGGAGAGGAGTTTTTACACAGTGGGACAGTGACCCATAGTCCAGTTCAGGATGGGTGGAAGGCCCATCTCTTGTTAAGTGGGAGAAGGCTGTTGAGGAAAGGGACATGGGCACAGAGTATCTGCACTCAAACCCTACTCTGTTTTAGGGAATAATACTTATGAACATTGAGGATCAAGAAGTTGATTCCTTTAAAACAATATGTGTCTATGAATCCTTGAAAAATCTTTGTGTACCCCAGGGGTATATGTTCTCCACTGAAGATCACTGCCCTGCAGTGATGTTCTTCAGACTACAGGTTGTAACCCTTTGATGGATGAAAAACAATTAAGTGGGTTGTGACCTGTAGTTTAAAAAAAAAAAAAAAGGAATAGAATGGAAAATAACAGCACAATACACTTGGTAAGATTCAGTTAAGTAGAGTCACATGGGCTGTTTTGTGTCAGTGACACATATAGGTGTATGTATAGAGTTGTGATATGAAATACGTTTCTTCCTGCGGGTTGTGGTCAGAGAAGTTTGAAAGCCAGTATTCCATTAGATGCAGCGTTCTTAGGCCTCACCGAATGCAGCCGCGACTTGGAAAGGCTTGCTGCCTGCATTACACGATGGGTTCTGTGTTCCTGTGGCTTGTGGGAGGGCTGTTTCCGTGTTTGATTTGGTTCCTTCATAGGCCGACACGGAGATGGGAAAGCTGGTGTCTCCTCTCTCGGCATGGTGGCACTCTGCAGGTTACCGTGGAGGTAGGGATGACTGAGATACGGTGTTATCTTAAAAAAAGTAGAGTCTTCTGGAGCAGATAATACATTTTGCACAGTATCATCGTTTGAATATATGTTGAGTGTCATGAGAAAGAAGTTATGTCCAGTTCTTCAGTGTGTTTATATGACTTTGTTAATTCTCCCTTATAAAACTTATTTTAACCTTGAGTTGATGAGGCACCACTTTAAACTGTGCAGTGGTGTGTCCTTGTCAAGAGGACCTGTGATACCTTTAATGTGCATGCAGGGCGTCATGGCAGCAGGCCTCTGACGACCAGTTAGAGCTCACTGCCGGACTGGCAGGGACGTCCTGTTTTCCCTCCTCCGCTCACACCAGCAATCCTTTTTATAGCTTTTTCTTTCAGTCTTGGCTTATTCAGTAAACTCAAGTTAATCTTGCCCCAAGTGTATTCATTTTGTTTTCTGGTTTCCTCTGTCCCCAAATAAAGCTGTTAGGGCTTCCTTTGTTTTCTTATTTTCTTCTTTTAAATTATAAAATGGACTTTCCTAGAAGATTCTGAAGAAATGAAAATGACCAAGGACCTCTCATTTCTGAAATACATGATCATTCGCAGTTTCTGTCTCTGATCCAGACAGCTTGCAATGTAGGTTCATTCAGAAAACATCATTGGTATGTTAAAATTGCTTTAAGGACATCTAGGCCTAGTAAGTAATCTGTATGTGTGCTGTTGTATCTTTACTATCTGGACTTCTTGGTGAACTCCAGCTGGCCGTTGAGTTGAGGTAACTTTTCACAAAATTTCAAAAGGAATAGTGTGATCCTTTTTGAGAGATTTTGGTGTCATTTCTAAAGAAAATGCATAGTGTGTAAAAGGTAAATGTGGATTCAGTTCTGGTCTTGGCTGTTTGCCTATGTCTCAATGGAAATAAAATTTATGGATGTCCTCTAAAGCGGAGCTTCTGTTACGGCATCTGCTAGGAAGTGTAAACCTAGTCGTTTATGGTGGTTGCAGATGGTAGCAGTAGAAGTCATGGATTTGACGTGTTCAGCAGTCTTTGTTTTATCTTTCAGCAAACCAGGTCAGGGTAACTCTGGAAGTCCAAATATCCGTATTTTCCCCAATAGGAGCAGCTTTTGCTTTGGTGTTATAATAGCTGTGCTTTTGTATTTGGAGAACAGCTGAAGTGTAAGTGCAAACAGTAATGATGAATGCTAATAAGGGAGATTATTAGCTTTGGACTCCTCTGACCGCCTCTTCCTGCCTTAGTACCTACTCTTTTCTCAGCAGACTTCAACTGGGAATGTTAAGGTATTTCTGAAAGCTTTGTTGCCTTTCCACTGAACTTGAAGGAAAAGTATTTAGCTTTTAAAAAGAAGTGTTTGATTTGGCTTTCTTTTTTAGCCAACTTCAGTATACAGCTCGGCACTCTAACGGGGTTTGTGTTTTGGAAATCTTCAGTCTTGGGCAATAAGAGAAAGCTTGTTACATGAAGCAGCAAACAAAAGGCCATAGAGTTCTGAATTTGAAGGAAAATAGTAGCGATGTAGCACGCGTTAATCACCAGAAGACTGAAGTTTTCTAGGGGTGTTCAAAAGGATTTTATATGTGCTCATAATTTCTATAAAGCTCGGATGCTGACTAACCAGAGTTTCAATAGTTAGAAGCTAGGTTAAGGAAGATATTTGTGGTCCAGATGCCATAACCTTGCACTTAGATATGGAAATAAAACTAGGGTATATTAAATAAAATTAAAGGCCATTAGAAATCTTAGAAACAACAAATAAATTGAAATAAGGTAAACAGATGGTTTAAACTATAGATAAGGCACAGAGATTTTAGTAAATTGGAAAATGGTATTTGGGAGTTCTCCCTCTTGGTGAGACAGACAGAGAAGCCTCAAAGAGCAGTTGACGTAGAGGCTGCAGTGAGTCTCTAACACATTTCTAAAAAGAGTTGCAGGAGAAGACAGTGGAGGGTGAAATATTTGAGGAGATAATAACAGGTTTTTTAGGGATTAAGAAAAAAAGTGAGTCCTTAACATAAATGCTGAGTATCAAGTAGGTAAGTGATAGTAAATTCGTATTTTGGTATATCTTAAGCTATAGAACACCAGAAATGAAAAGAAAATATTGAAAGCTAACAGAAGTAACGGTTAGGTTGCCGGGAGATGCCACATAAGCACAATCAATGACAGGAGACAGAGAAATATCTTCAAAGTGCAGAGAAAAGTAATTCTCAACCTAAAATTTCATATGTAGCTAAATTATTCAAGAATGAGAGCAAAATAGGTATCTTAGGCATATAAAAACTAAGGGCATTTATCACCCACATAAATCACCAGATGACATTTGCAGAAGAAGTGTAAACACAGGGAAAATACAGGATGAAAGAAGCAATACCAGCCATAGAAACAGATAAGTCTGAGTATAAAAAACAAAACCAAAAAACTATGTCATAGCACATGTTAGGTTTTAAAAGAAGAAAGTAAAACAAATGAGACAGTAATAACAAGATTGGGGCCTAAGGCAAAACACACTGAAGGAATATAGAGGCTATCAAACAATCTACCAAGAAAATATGACAATCATTGGGGCGCCTGGGTGGCTCAGTTGGTTAAGCATCTGTCTTAGGCTCAGGTCATGATCCCGGGGTCCTGGGATCAAGCCCAGAGTTGTGCTCCCTGCTCAGCAGGGAGACTGCTTCTCCCTCTGCCTTTCCCCGTGGCTTGTGCTCTCTCTCTCATTCACTCTCTTTCAAATAAATAAATTAAAATCTTTAAAAAATAAAAAGAAAATACGACAATAATTAACTTGTATACACCTAATGAAATCGCCATGACATACCATGTAAAACAAAAGGTGATAGAATTAAAGGAAGAAATCAATAGATGCACACAAAGGAGATGTTTAACATTGTATCAATTGCTAGATCAAGCAATAGGTAAAGATAGAATAGCATTGAGCAACAGAATTTTAAAAAGCTTGATCTATGAATTCTATACCCAAGGAACCAAAAATGTTCATTCCTTTTATATTCATAAGGAACACAAAAAAATTGTCTATGTACGTGTATCTCAAGGACTCAACATATTTAAAAAAATCAGGCTACCTAATGCTGTTAAAGATTTTAAACAACAATGTAAATGTTTTTTAAAAGTTTGGAAACTAAGAATGCATTCCTATTGCTCTTAAGTTAAAGAGCAAATCACAATGGAGATTGCAAAATCTGAGAATATGGTGAAGATACTTGTGGGAAGCAGCTAAAACAATACTTAGAAAGTAAGCTTTTAACTTTAAAAGTATTTATTAAAATTAAATCATTAAAAGACAATGAGAGATTGAAAAATAAATGATCTGGGGCTCCTGGGTGACTCAGTTGGTTAAGTGTCTGCCTCTGGCTCAGTTCATGATTCCCGGGTCCTGGGATCAAGCCCCGCATCAGGCTCCCTGCTCAGTGGGGAGTCTGCTTCTCCCTCTCCCACTCCCCGTGCTTGTGTTCCCTCTCTCGCTGTCTCTCTCTGTCAAATAAATAAATAAAATCTAAAAAAAAAAAAAAAAAAGTACATTATGACCATGCGTAGTAGGAATGCAAGGATCGTTTAACATGAGAACATCTGTTGATGTAACTCACTACATTGACAAAGTAAGAAAAAACAGGGCATTCAGTAAAATTCTTAACACCCTTTAGTAATGAGTTCATACTAGTTCTTAGCAAACTAGGATGGAGGGGGGCCTGCCTTAGCCTATGAAAACATTTTTAATAGAAACCAGTAGCCTTCACTTAATAGTGAAATGAGATAAGAAAGCCTATTATCAGTACTTCATTTTTATACTGGAGGTCCTCCTAGCCAATGCAATAAAATAAAAAGAAATGAGTTATACAATTTGGAAAGTTAAGGATAGTTTTGTCTCCATGTGGAGTCTATATGGTTATCAACATAGAGTAACCAAGAGAATCTACACTATTAGAACTAAGAGATCAATATAGTAATGTTTCTGTGTACCAGTAACTAATTAGAGAAGTAATAGAAGAAAAAGAAATTCTGAAAAAAATAAAAGACAAATAGAAAAAAAAAATCAGAATTTTTAGTCACTTGGGAATACGTCTAACAAGGTTGTGGGAAACCTTTATAGAGGATAATTATAAAACAAGTATTGAAGTACATGAAACCTTGATAAATGGAATGTGATGCCATGTTCATAGGTAGAAAGACTCCGTGTCATAAAGAAGCTAACTCTCCTCAGTTTGTAAATTCAGAGCAATTCCAATTAAAGTCTCAGTTTTCCTGTATGGATCTTCAGACTATCTTCAGTTTTACAAGGAAGAACAGGATCAAGAAAATGCTGACCTACTATATCGAACCACTGATTTATAGGAAATACCACGAACGAAGGAACAAGTTCAGCTATGTTACAGGTATGCAGTCAGCAAAATCCAGACTGCAGGAGGCACGGAGGGCAACCTAGTTTACCCTATAAATAAATTTCAAGGGAAAAAGGAGGTGGAGGGGAAACCTATAGATTAAAAGAGAGTTAAAATACATATTGACTAATTTGTGGACCTTATTTGAATTTTGACTCAAAGGGTTGAACTATTAAAAAAAATTTAGACTACTGGACTTTTCAACACTGAGTGGATGTTTGATGGTATAAACATTGTCAATTTTTTTTTTTTTTTTTAAGATTTTTATTTATTTATTTGACAGAGCGAACGAGAGCAAGAACACAAGCAGGGGGAGGGGGAGAAGCAGACTCCCCGCTGAGCAGGGAGCCTGATGTGGGGCTCGATCCCAGGATCCTGGGATCATAACCTGAGCTGAAGGCAGAGGCCCAACCAACTGAGCCACCCAGGTGTCCCTGAATTATGCATTAAAAAAAAGATTTTATTTATTTATTATTTTTTAAAGATTTATTTATTTGACAGAGAGAGACACAGCGAAGAGAGGGAATACAAGCAGGGGGAGTGGGAGAGGGAGAAGCAGACTCCCCATGGAACAGGGAGCCCGATGCGGGGCTCGATCCCAGGACCCTGGGATCATGACCTGAGCCCAAGGCAGACGCTTAACGACTGAGCCACCCAGGCGCCCCATTTTTTCAGACATTGTCAAATTCTTTCAGCTGTGAAAATGATCCTTACAAAGTGAAATTAGCCAGAAAAAGACAAATAATGTATGATTCCACTTATGTGAGGTATCTAGAATAATTAAACTTCTAGAAACAAAGTAGATTATGGTTGCCAGGGGCTTAGAGGAGTGGGAGTTGTTGTTGAATGGGTGTAGTTCATTTTTTTAAGATGAAGATTTGTGGAGATGGGTTGCACAACAATGTGAATACTTTTAACACCACTGAACTGTACCCTTAAAAGTGGTTAAGATGATAAATTTTATGTGTATTTTTAAAAAATGGTCCTTATCTTTTTAGAGATACATGCTGAAGTACTTATAGGTAAATGGTAAGTTTGGGAGCCCCATTTCTTGTTAACATGAACCACAGACCCATTCCCCAGCAAAACTGGTGAAATTTTTTTTTTAAAAACAACCACTTAAAGTCTACAGAAGTGGTCCTATAGCAGATGAAACATTTGTTCAAGAAAATATACTAAATCCTGGTAAAAACAGAGAGTCTGTGGCATTTGATCCATGAACTGCTCCCTTTCCCTCCCCTTCCAGCCTGGTGTTACAGAAACACCACCCCAGGCAGATGATGCCAAGAACACAGGTCTCGTGCTCCCCCCAGCACCCGGTTGAGGACTACAGAACCTTCCTCCCCACACCCATGCAGCTACCTGTTGTAGAGGTGAAGTTGCAGTTGAGTGTGGCTGAGGGGTTGAGCTCCTTTCTTCTGCCCAGCCCCCACTCAGGGTGGAAGCTGTACCTTGGGTGTGGTGTTCTGGGGGGAGGGTCTATGACGGGAGCACAAAGCCAGGGAGACCAGAGGCTACCACCTCCATCTCCCCAACCCAGTATCCTGTTCCTAGCTTAGAAGAGTCCCAGCAGTTAAGTGGAATTTGACGGATATGGTCAAGGAAGGAGACACTCAGAAGGGAGCCCTGCAGACTCTACCGTCGCTCCAGAGTGACTCTGCTCGTGCCCACGGCACACCTTCTGAGGGGCGACAGCAGCAGCCCCCCACTGCGGGAGGGGGCAGGAAATCAGTTTACATGAAAATCCAGCCAGCTACTAGGCAAACAGCAGATGACGACGAGAAGCCGGTAAGAGGCTGGGGCGCACCAGCACCAGAGGTGCTGCAAAAAAATGTCAGTTTTGGGGCGCCTGGGTGGCTCATTCGTTGAGCATCTGCCTTCGGCTCAGGTCATGATCCCAGGGTCCTGGGGTCGAGCCCCGCATCGGGCTCCCTGCCCCTCGGGAAGCCTGCTTCTCCCTCTCCCACTCCCCCTGCTTGTGTTCCCTCTCTAGCTGTCTCGCTCTCTCTGTGTCAAATAAGAATTAAAAAAAAAAAAGTCAGTTTCAACAACAACAACAAAACTTGAGATAAGAAACAGTTGAAACTGTTATCCATACAAAGGAAAACGTGCAATGCCTGTGAGAGTAACCAGATGTCAGATTTAATGAAGACTTCAAAGTTGTCACACATACACTTAACCGAAGAAAAGCATGCTTAATGCAGTTAAGTGTGACAGTGTTTCATCAAATGGAGAGTATCAGTAAAGAAATGAGAACAACCAAGTGGAAATTCTGAAGTTGAAAAGTGCAGTAACTAAAATGGAAAGTTCAGTGCAGGGGCTCCGCAGTAGATTTGAACTAGCAGAAGAAAGAATTAGTGGACTTGAAGATAGGTCACTTAAGATTATACAGTTTGAAGAACAGAAAGAAGATAGAAACAGGAACAGAGCCTAATAGAAATGTGGGACATCATTAAGTTTGCCAACATATGTGCAATGGGAGGGCCAGAAGGAGAGACGAGAGAGAGAGAAAAAATGTTAAAAGAGAGATAATGTCTGAAAATTTCCCACATTTAATTAAAAGTGGTAATCTACATATATACGAAGCTCCTTGAACTCAAAGTAGGATAGAGACATGCAGAGGTCACATCATACATACACACAGACACATCATAATAACAATGTTAAAACCTGGAGACGACGAGAAGATCCTAGAAGGAGCCAGAGAAAGACAGCTTCTCACCTGTTAAGAGAATGTTGATGAGGTTAACAGGTGACTTCTCATTAGAAACAGAGGCTGGGAGGCAGCGGGGTGACATTTTAAATGCTCAAAGGGGAAAAAACTTAACCAAGAATCCTATAGCCAGCAAAAGCATCTTTCAAAGAAGATGAAATAAAGACATTATCTCAAATAGACAGAAACTGAGAAAAATTTTTCCTAGAATATTGCCTTATTGAGAAATACTAAAGGACATTCTTTAGCTGAAAGCAAGTGATTCCAGACAGTAATTTGAATTTACATGAAAAAAAGGGTGCTTGGTAAGATAATTGTGCAATTATAACAGTATAAATATTAATGGATTGCAGAAAGCAATGATATAAGGGGCGCCTGGGTGTCTCAGTCAGTTAAGCATCTGCCTTTGGCTCAGGTCACGATCCCAGGGTCCTGGGATTGGGCCCTGCGTCCAGGCTCCCTGCTCAACAGGGAGCCTGCTTCTCCCTCCCCCTTTGCCCCTCCCCCCAACTTGTGTGCGCTCTCGCTCGCTGTCTCAATCTCTCTCATGCTTTTTCTCAAATCTTTTTCAAAACAGTGATCTAAGCCAATGTGTACATTATTGTTTTTACTGGCCCTGTAACATATGGAAATGTAATATATTTGCCAATATCAGCACAAAGGAGTTGGGTGGGAGGAAGGCTACATTAGACTAAGAAAATGACCCCAAATGATAATTCCAATCCAAAGGATCAACTGAAGAAAGCCAGAAGTGCCAAATAAGGTTAGTATAACACACGCTGTAGATACATACTTGGTCTCCTTTCTCCTCTCAGCTTCTTTAAGAGAAAATTGTATGGAGCAATAGTTACAGCAGTGTATCACTGGGTTTGTAGCATATACAGATGACAGCGTATACAATAATAACAGTGTAGACGTGGGAAAAGAAAAGGCCTATAGAGGAGTAACCTTTATTTTGTGGGAATTAAAGTTGTATACATTTGAAGTAGGAAAAGAAGTAAAGCTATTTCTATTGTCAGATGATGTCTTATATAGAAAATTGAAGGGAATCCACTGAAAAACTAAACTATTTTATGAGTTCAGCAAGGTTGCAGGATACAAGATCAATATACAAAAACCAATTGTATTTCTTTTTTAAAAAGGTTTTATTTAAATTCCAGTTAGTTAACATACAGTATTAGTTTCAGGTGTACAGTATAGTGATTCAGCACTTCCATACATCACCCGGTGCTCATCACAAGTGCACTCCTTAATCCCCATCACCTGTTTCACCCAACCCCCTGCCAACCTCCCCCCGCTGGTAACCACCAGTCTGTTCTCTATAGTTAAGAGTCTGTTTCTTGGTTTCCCTCTCTCTTTTTTTTTTTCCCCCTTTGCTCTTTTTTTTTTTTTTTTAAAAGATTTTATTTATTTATTCATGAGAGACAGAGAGAGAGAGGCAGAGGGAGAAGCAGGCTCCCAAGGAGCAGGGAGCCCGATGTGGGACTTGATCCCAGGACCCTGGGATCATGACCTGAGCCGAAGGCAGACGCTTAACCATCTGAGCAACCCAGGTGCCTGCTCTTTTTTTTTTTTTTTTTTAAAGTAAGCTGCACACCCAGGGTGGAGCCCAACATGGGACTTGAACTCACCACCCTGAGATCAAGACCTGAGCTGAGACTCAGAGTCAGACGCTTAACCAGCTGAGCCTCCCAGGCGCGTCTTGTTTGTTTTGTTTCTTAAATTCTACATATGAGTGAAATCAGATGGTATTTGTCTTTCTCTGACGGACTTGTTTTGCTTAGCATTATATTCTCCAACTCCATCCATGTCTTTGCAAATGGCAAGATTTCATTCTTTTTTATGGCTGAGTAGTATTCCATCATACACACACCCCGCCATCAACCGCACCCCACATCTTCTTTACCCATTCTTCATTCGATGGACACGTGGGCTGTTTCCATAGTTTGGCTAGTGGAGATAATGCTACTATATACATTGGGGTGCATGTATCCCTTCGAATCTGTATTTTTGTATCCTTTGGGTAAACACCTAGCAGTGCAATTGCTGGATCATAGGGTAGTTCTATTTTTAACTTCTCCAGAGTGGCGGCACCAGTTTGCTTTCCCGCCAACAGTGCAGGATGGTTCCCCTTTATCCACATTCTCACCAATATCCATTGTTTCTTGTATTTTTGATTTTAGCCATTCTGACAGGTTGCGAGGTGATATTTCACTGTAGTTTTGTTTTGCATTTCCCTGATGATCAGTGATGTTGAGCATCTTTACATGTGTCTGTTGGC